CTTGCATGGACAATCAAATTGCAGGATCCGTTGTTTGATATGTAAGCTACTTGGGACACGCGCCTATGGCATGATGCGCAGGAGAACCATACAAGAAAGAGGGGCGACAACTACAGGCTCGAAGAGGGCATGGGGAGTCGGGAACGAAGAGCAGGAGAACGACGTGCGGGAAGCCCACTGTGCTGGGCCCCCCAGCAGCCCTCGAAAGTGGCGACAGCTCCCCAGATCGCAGCCCCCCAGGGATTGCGAGGTCTAATCTGAGTCTGCTGTAAATGCCCACTGTGCTGGGCCCCTCAGCAGCCCTCGAAAGTAACGACAGTTTCACAGATCGCAGCCCCCCCCAGGGATGGCGAGGTCTAATTTGAGAGTGCGGCGAGCACCCAGTGTGCTGGGCCCCGCAGCAGCCCTCGAACGTAACGACAGTTTCGCAGATCGCAGCCCCCCCAGGGATGGCGAGGTCTAATTTGAGTCTGCGGCGAGTACCCCCTGCGTTGGGCCCCTCAGCAGCCCTCGAAAGTGGCGACAGTTCCACAGATCGCAGCCCCCCAGGGGTGGCGAGGTCTAGTCTGGGTCTGCGGTGAGTACCCACTGTGCTGAACCCATCAGCAGCCCTCGAAAGTGGCGGCAGTTTCACAAATCGCAGCCCCCCACGCATGGCGAGGTCGAATCTGACTCCGCGGTGAATGCCAACTGTGCTGGGCCCCTCAGCAGCCCTCGAAAGTGGCGACAGTTTCGCAGATCGCAGCCACCCAGGGATGGCGAGGTCTAATTTGAATCTGCGGTGAGTACCCACTGTGCTGGGCCCCCCAGCAGGCCTCGAAAGTTGCGACAGTTTCGCAGATCGCAGCCCCCCAGGGATGGCGAGGTCTAATTTGAGTCTGCGGCGAGTGCCCCCTGCGTTGGGCCCCTCAGCAGCCCTCGAAAGTGGCGACAGTTCCACAGATCGCAGCCCCCCAGGGATGGCGAGGTCTAATTTGAATCAGCGGTGGGTGCCCACTGTGCTGGGCCCCCCAGCTGGCCTCGAAAGTGGCGACAGTTTCGCAGATCGCAGCCTTCCAGGGATGGCGAGGTCTAATCTGAGTCTGCGGTGGGTACCCACTGTGCTGGGCCCCTCAGCAGCCCTCGAAAGTGGCGGCAGTTTCACAGATCGCAACCCCCCAGGGATGGCGAGGTCTCATTTGAATCTGCCCGTGGCCCTCACTGTGCTGGGCCCCCCAGCAGCCATCGGAAGTGGCGGCAGATTCGCAGATCGCAGCCCCCCAGGGATGGCGAGGTCTAATTTGAGTCTGCGGTGAGTACCCACTGTGCTGGGCCCCCCAGCAGGCCTCGAACGTGGCGACAGTTTCGCAGATCGCAGCCCCCCAGGGATGGCGAGGTCTAATTTGAATTTGCGGTGAGTGCCCACTGTGCTGGCCCCCCTCAGCAGGCTTCGAAACTGGCGACAGTTTCGCAGATCGCAGCCCCCCAGGGATGGCGAGGTCTAGTTTGAATCTGCGGTGAGTACCCATTGTGCTGGGCCCCCCAGCAGGCCTCGAAAGTGGCGACAGTTCCACAGATCGCAGCCCCCCAGGGATGGCGAGGTCTAATTTAAATCTGCAGTGAGTACCCACTGCGCTGGGCCCCCCAGCAAGCCTCGAAAGTGGCGACAGTTTCGCAGATCGCAGCCCCCCAGGGATGGCGAGGTCTAATTGTGAATCTGCAGTGAGTACCCACTGTGCTGGGCCCCCCAACAGGCCTCGAAAGTGGCGACAGTTTCGCAGATCGCAGCCCCCCAGGCATGGCGAGGTCTAATTTGGATTTGCTGTGGGTACCCACTGTGCTGGGTCCCCCAGCAGGCCTCGAAAGTGGCGACGGTTTCGCATATCGCAGGCCCCCAGGGACGGCGAGGTCTAATTTGAATCTGCGGTGAGTGCCTTCTGCGCTGGGTCCCCCAGCAGGCCTCGAAAGTGGCGACAGTTTCGCAGATCGCAGCCCCCCAGGGATGGCGAGGTCTAATTTGAATCTGCGGTGGGTACCCACTGCGTTGGGCCCCGCAGTAGCCCTCGAAAATGGCGGCAGTTTCACAGATAGCAGCCCCCCAGGGATGGCGAGGTCTAATTTGAATCTGCGGTGAGTGCCCACTGCGCTGGGCCCCCCAGCAGGCTTCGAAAGTGACGACAGCTTCGCAGATCGCACCCCCCCAGGGATGGCCAGGTCTAGTGTGAATCTGCGGTGAGTACCCACTGTGCTGGGCCCCCCAACAGGCTTCGAAAGTGGCGACAGTTTCGCAAATCGCAGCCCCCCAGGCAGGGGGGAAGAGAGGGACGGGAGGGGGCGGGAAGGAAGGAGACGCGCGAGCAGTGCTCTATTCAAAACGAGAACCCAACGCAGGAGGGTTGGGAATTACCCTGGCGACGTACCCAACCCCTGCGCAAAACCGGGGCGCAAATAGTTTAGGATACTTTATAAGGGGGCGATGCCGGAGCGAGGGTTACATATGTCTGCAGACGGAATTCGGGAGACTCGCAGGACACTGGCTACAGGAAAAGGGCTTGGTAAAGCTGATGACTTACAATTCCTGAGCACTCCTGGCCACTTCGAAAACGGTGATCACAGCAGGCCTCGAAAGTGGCGACAGTTTCACAGATCGCAGCCCCACAGGGATGACGAGGTCTAATTTCGGTCCGCGCGTGGCGTCACTGTGTTGGGCCCCCCAGCAGGCCTCGAAAGTGGCGACAGTTTCACAGATCGCAGCCTCCAGGGGATGGCGAGGTCTCATTTGAATCTGCCCGTGGCGTCACTGCGCTGGGCCCCCCCAGCAGGCCTCGAAAGTGGCGACAGTTTCACAGATCGCAGCCCCCAAGGGATGGCGAGGTCTCGTTTGAATATGCCCGTGGCGTAACTGCGCAGGGCCCCCCAGCAGGCCTCGAAAGTGGCGACAGTTTCACAGATCGCAGCCCCCCCAGAGATGGCGAGGTCTAATTTGACTCCGCGCGTGGCACTGTGCTGGACCCCCCAGCAGGCCTCGAAAATGGCGACAGTTTCACAGATCACAGCCCCCCAGGGATGGCGAGGTCTAATTTGAATCTTTGAATCTGCGCGTGGCGTCACTGTGCTGGGCCCCCCAGCAGGCCTCGAAAGTGGCGACAGTTTCACAGATCGCAGCCCCCCAGGGATGGCGAGGTCTAATTTGAATCTGCGCGTGGCGTCACTATGCTGGGCCCCCCAGCAGGCCTCGAAAGTGGCGACAGTTTCACAGATCGCAGCCCCCCAGGGATGGCGAGGTCTAATTTGAATCTGCCCGTGGCGTCACTGTGCTGGGCCCCCCAGCAGGCCTCGAAAGTGGCGACAGTTTCACAGATCGCAGCCCCCCCAGGGATGGCGAGGTCTCATTTGAATCTGCCGTGGCCCTCACTGTGCTGGGCCCCCCAGCAGGCCTCGAAAATGGCGACAGTTTCACAGATCGCACCCCCCCAGGGATGGCCAGGTCTCATTTGAATCTGCCCGTGGCGTCACTGTGCTGGGCCCCCCAGCAGGCTTCGAAAGTGGCGACAGTTTCACAGATCACAGCCCCCCCCCAAGGATGGCGAGGTCTCATTTGAATCTGCCCGTGGCCCTCACTGCGCTGGGCCCCCCAGCAGGCCTCGAAAATGGTGGCAGTTTCACAGATCGCAGCCCCCCAGGGATGGCGAGGTTTAGTTTGAATCGGCGCGTCGCTCTCACTGTGCTGGGCCCCCCAGCAGGCCTCGAAAATGGCGACAATTTCACAGATCGCAGCCCCCCAGGGATGGCGAGGTCTAATTTGAATCTTTGAATCTGCGCGTCGCCCTCACTGTGCTGGGCCCCCCAGCAGGCCTCGAAAATGGCGACAGTTTCGCAGATCGCAGGCCCCCCAGGGACAGGCGAGGTCTAATTGAATCTGCGCGTCGCCCTCACTATGCTGGGCCCCCCAGCAGGCCTCGAAAATGGCGACAGTTTCACAGATCGCAGCCCCCCAGGGATGGCGAGGTCTAATTTGAATCTGCGCGTCGCCCTCACTGTGCTGAGGCCCCCCAGCAGGCCTCGAAAATGGCGACAGTTTCACAGATCGCAGCCCCCCCAGGGATGGCGAGGTCTAATTTGAATCTGCCCGTGGCCCTCACTGTGCTGGGCCCCCCAGCGGGCCTCGAAAATGGCGACAGATCGCAGCCCCCCGCAGGCAATACAGGAAGAGGCAGGGAGGGAGGGAGGAGGAAGGAAGGAAGGAGTGGAGACCACACTGCTCTAGTCAAAACGAATACCCAACAAAGGAGGGTTGGGAATAAAAAGGGTAATACGACGAATCGTATTACGAATAATAAGAGACATAAGAGACATAATAATGATACGAATAAGAAGAAGACGAAGACGACGAGGAGGATGAGGAGGTGGAGGAGGTGGAGGTGGAGGAGGAGAAGTGTCTCAGTCGAGTCGGTCCGACAAAGTTTCTTGCGCCTCCCGAGGTCCTGTCCCGCAGATGCCCCCCCCCCCCCCCACAGGCTCGAAACAGATCAGCAGCCCGCGTCACAACTTGAATCCGCGAGACTCGAGCCTCGAACCTCGAATCTCGAGACCAGATCCTCGAGCCCCGTTCGTGGATCCTCGATTCCCGATGCTCGAACCTCGTTCCTTGAACCTCGCTCCTCAAACCTCGGTCCTCGAACCTCCGTCCTCGACCCCGGCCCTCGAGCCTCGATTCTCGAGCCTCGGGCCTCGCTCCTCCAGCTTCGATCCTCAGGCCTCGATCCCCGCGCCTCGAGCCTCGATCCTTGAGCCTCGTGCCTCGAGCTCCGCCCCTCGATCCTCGCTCCTTGAGCCTCGATGCTCTGGCCTCGATCCTCGCCCCCCCCCCCCCCCCGGCGACGACGACGAGGGCGAGGACGACGAAGACGGCGATGACGACGACGACGACGACGACGACGACGACGACGACGACGACGACGACGACGACGACGACGACGACGACGACGACGACGACGACGACGACGACGACGCCCCCCCAGGCGCCAGGGGCGACGCAGGACATGGTCTTCCAGTGGGTGGACTGCCCCGCCTTCGGCCGCCAGGCTCCGCCTCCCCCCACTGCCCCCCCGCGGGGGCGCGGCCGCCCCGCGATGCGCGCCGCCGTCCGGGGAGGCAGGAGGGGGGGGGGAGGGCAGTGCCCTACTCCTCCGCCCCCTCCCTCCTCCCCCCTCCTCCTCCTCCTCCTCCTCCTCCTCCTCCTCTCCTCCTCCTCCTCCTCCTCCTCCTCCTCCTCCTCCTCCCGCCCCCTCCTCTTCCGCCCCCTCCCTCCTCCCCCCTCCTCCTCCTCCTGCCTTTTCCCTGCTCCTGTTGCGTTGAGATGCGCCTCGTGCGCCTTCCATATAGGGGTGGCGCGGGCTCGGTGACGGGGGCGGGGAGTTTCACCAAACCTTGGCGGCCGTGCTGCTAGATACCGCGTGTTTCTGCCAGCAGCTAGTGAGTGCCGCGCCATGCTGACCGTCTCCTCGGCGAATCAGAGCGCAATCCAAAAAATCCCCCTCCTCTTTCTCATCCGCAGCGGGGACGCGCACCAAGAAGCCAGAGGCGCTGCGTCAGGGTGCCCGGGGTTTGTTCGTTCCGCGAGCTACGCGGTGGCTCCCGGCGGCGATGGGAGGAACTGCTGCGTTCGGGGTGCTCCGGGTTTCCCCTCAGATGCACTTTGCGCGAGGGTTCTCAGGGTTGGATTTCTTGCGAGGGTTTCTTGCGACCGCGCCCGCAATGTATGGCACGACCGCATTCTCTGTCAGGCCACGGGGCATTCTATGAGTTCGCCCTCTGCGTGCGGAGCTCGCCTGAAGGGGGGAGAAGGCAGGAGTTGGGAAGGTTTCGGGCTGCGCAGAAACAGTGCCCCCCCCCGCAGCGCCAGCTAGCCTCAACGGGCCACCCCCTGAGTACTCCCAGCTGGCCTTGACAGGTCCCCCGAGTTGCCTGTAGCCTGGGGCGGTCTCAACACCCTCGCGCCGCTTCCGGCGGCGCCCCTGGGACGCCCCGCGCCCCAGGGTTGAGGTGTTGACACCGCCCTGTGGGCTACTCGGGGGGCCTGTTGAGGCCAGCTGGGGCTACTCGGGGGGGGGGCTGTTGAAGCCATCTGGTGCTACCAGGGGGCCAGGGGGGGGGTGTTTCCCAGCAGGAGTCGGGGGCAACGGCAAGGGTGAAGGGTGAAGGTGCTAGCCCTTGGGGGGGGGGGGGGCGCATCGACTCCCGACCGCCCACCTCATCGCCGATGGGGGGGGAAGGGGGACGCGGATAACAATAGGCAGGCGGAGAGGGAGGACTACAGTGACAAATGTGGGACAGGGTCCGCTCCGCTTTGGTTTCCGACGGGCTTCCATGTTCTTCGGACCCCTCCATGAGGGTCTTCCTTGGGCACTCTTCGTGTATCCGGGGGCGACGGAGGCCCCGATGGGGCATCTTTCCTAATCCAAGATTTGCTGTGGCAGAAAGGTTGGCTCCAGGGGGGCACGGGATGGGAGGGGGGCGTTTAGCTGGCCGTTCACCGAACGAGTGTGTTTAATGTTCGTGCGGTTCAGGAGGAGGAGGAGGAGGAGGAGGAGGAAGAGCAGGAGGAGGGTGACGAACATGACGAGCATGATCTTGTAGATGTTTGCTACGATGTGGACGTTTTTTTTTTTTCAGGAGTTTCAGAGTTATGGACACAGGCGCCGTGCCGCTTACACAAGGAACAGCCGTGCCTCATACAGTGGGGGGCCATAACAACAAACACTCTGCTTGCCTCCAGGGTGCCCTGGGTTTCTTGGGTTTCGATGGCTTTGCAATGGAAAGCGTGACGTTCACACCCACGTACACGTACACGTACACGTATATGTACACGTGCACGTACACGTACACGTACACGCACACGCACACGCACACGCACACGCACACGTACACGCACACGCTGACGCACACGCACACGCACACGCACACGCACACGCACACACCGAACATCAATGGACGTCTTGGGGTCTCCGGGTTGGGCTTCTTGTGGAAGGTTTCTTCTGGATTGGCCTCTGTAGGCCTGGCGGCAATGTGGGGGGGTCGTTTGGTAGCCTCTCGACGTCGCGCTCGGGGCATCCTGGGGCCGAGGAGGAGCGGGCCCCCCAGGGACTGGGCATCCGCCGGGTATGGTAGGTTCGTTCGGGCGGACGGCAACGTGGGGGGGACCGAGGATTTCGGGAAAGTGGCCATGCAGGGGCCCTGAATCAGGCGATCGCAAACATGGATCAAGGGAACGTGGAGTAGCGACAGGTCTCGTTTCCGTAGGAGCTCGCGGATTTCCGCCGCCGAGCGAGGCGGCATTAGCCACATTTTGGGGAGGGCACCTCCCCCGATCCATGGATTTGGCGACCGCGCGCCAAGTCCATGGATCGCCAATCCATGTTTGCACGCCCCCGACTGAAGGGCCCCTGTAGACTGCCACCGTGTGCCCCAAGGGTGCACGAAATGTGACCGTGTCTTCACCCCACGTTCCTTCGTCGGTCGTTTGAAGTATGTACTATTGGATTTCCAGACTACTTCAATCATCGACTGCTTTTCCCTCTCCCCTCCCCTTCAGAGGGCGGGCAGAAACCCAATCTACCTTCAACGCCTTCCTACTTCATATTTCTACCAGCTTCTTCCGAGCGACGAGTGCCTCTCGCCACATCTCGCCACATCTTGCCGGAGATTCCAGCACGCCTTCGGCCCGCTGGGACAGCGACTCGTGCCAGGTTGTGCCGCGCATCTTCCCCCGGGCACTCTTCACTCTGCCTCTGTGCCAGGGCGAGGGCTGAGGCTGGGTTTCAGTCGGGCCTGTCCCTCTACAGGAGGAATAGTGAAAAAAACAGTCAGAAAATAGTCTGGGGACGATTTTTTGATTACTTTTTGATTGTGTTCGAAGTACAAATTACTGTTTGATTAATTTTTGATTACTTTTTGATTAATGTTTGATTACTTTTTGATTTTTTTGTTTTTTTCATAGCCCGATAGCCCTATAGCCCATATAGCCCCATAGCCCTAAAGCCCTATAGTCCTACAGCACTGTCCACATCACGATCGATTTCAGTACGGATCTCATTCAATCGAGCTATTGGAAGATTAATCTGATTGGGGCTTTTCTCCGGTATCATGGCGAGGGCTGAGGCTGGGTTTCAGTCGGGCCTGTCCCCCTACAGGAGGAGTAGCCAAAAAACAGTCAGGACATAGCCTGGGGACGATTTGTTGATTACTTTTTGATTCTGTTCGAAGTATGGTTTGATCATTTTTTGATTCTTCGTCCAAGTTCCGCCTCTCGGAGGACACGCCCGACCTGAGGCTGGTTCGGCGGGCTCGGGCTGGGGCTAAGCCAAGGGGCGCCCGAGGCCAGGGAAGCGCCAAAAAAGGAGGATGCCGCGACTCGGCGCCCCGCAAAAGCGAAGGTCGGATCAGCCCTGGGAAGGATACCCTCTCGTGCCCTACCTGAGGTGCGTGCTGACGTCTCTTGCCTGGCGAACAAGAAGAGGAGGAGGGAGGAGGGAGAAGTAGGCTGAGGAGGAGGAGTAGGAGGAGGAGGACGAGGAAGTATACCCTCTCATGCCCTGGGAAGTATACCCTCTCATGCCCTACCTTAGTGGGTCCTGGAAACGACAGGGCCGTTTTTTTTCCGGTTCCGTTTTGCCGTTTTTGTTTCCGGTTCCGACGCCGTTTGTTTACCGGTTCCGTCGCCGTTTTTTGACCGGTTCCGGCTCCGGTTCCAATCCTGGAGCTGTTTTTTTGCCGTTTCCGGTCGCCGTTTTTTGCCGTTGGAGGGAGAAGGAGGCTGAGGAGGAGCAGCAGCAGGAGGAGGAGGACGAGGAGGAGGAGGAAGAGGAGGATGGAGGATGGAGGTTGGAGGATGGAGGATGGAGGCCCTCCCCTCTCTTGGCATGCCGCTGGATTGGACTCAGCCTCTGCATTCTGCGGGCTTCCTTGGGCCTCAGAGGCCCCCGAGGCTGGTTCAGCAGCCCCCCATGGTGCCCGCGAAGACCTCCCAGGGGCCGCCTCCGACAAGCGAGGCTGATCCGTAGGTCGACCCCGCCAAACAGAGGCTACCCGTGTGTCCCATGTTTCGCGGCCCATGCCTTTCTTCACGCTTGCGGCAAAGCTGCCCTCTGAAGGGTCTCGTGTCCTCTCGCGCGTCCTCTCCAGTCGGCTCCGACTGTAATCCCTCCTCGCCTCCTTTCCCCGTGGGGAAGGGAGGCGAGGAGGGATTCCAGTCAGGGGAAGGGAGCGAGGAGAAAGGGAAGGGGAAGTCAGGGAGGGAAGGGAGGCGAGGTGAGGAAGGGACGGGAGGGAGCGAGGAGCGAGGAGGGAGGAGCGAGGAGCGAGGAGGGATTACAAGGGAAAGGAGGCGAGGTGAGGAAGGGAAGGCGAGGCGGAGGAGCGCCTCCCCTCCTCCGTCTCGCCTTCCCCGTGAGAAGGACAGATCCGTCGACTGCGCTCCTCCGGGCAGGCAGCTCCTCCCTGCTGCCGTGTATTCCCCTCTTCGTCTTCCTCTCGCCCTTCCCCACTCTCCTCTGCTCCTGTCTCCCGTCCCCCCTCCCTCCGCACGCCCCCTTCTCCCATCCCCTCCCTCCTCGACCTCCGGGGCACCTCTCGGACCTCCAAGCCTCGGGGCCCCACGGGCGAGTCGCCAGCGGAGCTGGGAGCCAGGAGGAGGATGAGGAGAGGAGAGTATCCGGAGGGAGGGAGGTTTTTTGGCGTCTGCATGCGTCATGCATTATCGTGGCTTTGGGACCGCCACAAAACGACTCAGGATGAGACGCTGACCCCGGGGAAGGGGTCAAGATCCGCAGAGACCGACGTCAGGAAGCAAGCGTTACGTCGGAGGAGATGAGGGAGGATCAGAAGGAGGAGGAGGGGGAGGAGGAGGAGGAGGAGGAGGAGGAGGAGGAGAACCAGGGGCTGTGAGGAATGAGGATGATGAGCACGAGGCGGAGGAGGAGGAGGAGGAGGAGGAGGAGAAGGAACAGATGAAGGAAAGAAGAAAAAGGAACAGGATGATGAGGAGGGAGAGGAGATGACAGGAGGAGGAGGAAAAGGAAAAGGAAAAGGAAAAGGAAAAGGAGGAAAAGGAGGAGGAGGAGGAGGAGCATTCCCTCGCTCTCCCTCCTCGCCTCCTCCTCTCATTCTCCGTCTCCTCTCATTCCTCCTGTCCCTCCTCCTCGTCCTTCTCCTCCCCCTTCTCCTTCTCCTCCTCCTCCTCGGTTTCCTCCTATCCCTCCTCCTCTTTCTCCTCCTCCTCTTCGCCTCCTCTTTCTACTCCTTCTCTTTCTCTCCTCCTCCTCCTTCTCCTCCTCCTCCTTCTCCCCCTCCTCCACCCTCCCCCTCACTTTCAGGGGAGGTGTCCACGAGGGGGCGCAATACTGTCGCATTGCTCCGTTACCTTGCGGCTCAAGGCGCATGCATTGTACGTTGACGCCTCGATGTAGTCGTCCTTTCTGGGAGGACAGTAGTACGCTACCCCATCATTACCAATACATCCCTTGTCACATCTCTTCAGGATATGGCAGCGATGTGCGACATGACGGCGTTACCATGTTACGTTCGTCTTCTTAGCGGAGTTGGCCGCACTGGTGTGGTTGGATTTAGGTGCCATCCTAGTACTCTCTGTCGCGACCCATGCCCGCGCAAGAAAACACCGCATCTGAAAGTTCGGAACGTTCTGTTGTACAACCTGATGCTGTTCCCAAGCATCCTGTGGTGCTGGGTTTTCGTTTTGAAGAGACAGCGCCTCGCGTATCCTTCCTTCCTTCCTTCCTTCATCCTTCTCGGTGGAGCTCCCTATGGGGCAATCGTGACGTGTGAGGGGTGTGCCGAAATGGGGGGGGGGCCACTGGGGCATTCGGTAGAGGTCCCTATGGAGCCACGACACGTGTGAGGGGTGTGCCGAGATGGGGCGGGTCGCCATGCGAACCCTGCCACTGGGGCCTGTGGTGGAGCTCCCTATGTTGCCACGAAGCGCGTGAGAGGTGTGCCGAGATTGGGCGGGCCGCCATGCGAACCTTGCCTCTTGGGCTGGTGGCTGAGCTCCCTATGGGACCACGGGGCGTGTGAGGGAAGTGCCGAGATGGAGCGGGGCCGCCAAGCGAACCTTGCCACTTGGGCCTTGAGTGGAGCTCCTCATGGGGCCATGAAACGTGTGAGTGGTGTGCCCAAATAGGGCGGGGCCGCCTTGCGAATCCTGCCACGTGGTGCCTTTGGTGGGGCTCTCTATAGGGGCACGCAGAGTGTGATGGGTGATGACGGCGATGACGATGATGATGATGATGATGATGCTGACGACAATGATGATGATGCTGATGATGCTGCTGATGATGATGATGGCGACAGTGATGCTGATGCTGTTGATGATGATAGTGCTGAGGAAAGGATAGGATGATTATGACGGTGTCGATATTGCTATTGTTGATGTTCATGTTGATTATGCTGATGCTGAGGATGGCGATGCCGCTGTTGACGATGCTGACGGTGATGCTGATGAGGAGGGTGATGATGATGGTGATGATGATGATGATGAAGATGGATGTGAGAATGGTGATGGCGATGATGATGCCGATGCCGTTGTTGATGCTGATACCGATCATGCTGCTGATGATAGTGATGATGCTGCTGCTGATGCTGATGGTGATGATGTTGATGGTGCTGCTGATGGTGGTTGTGATGCTGATGATGGAGATGGTGATGCTGCTAATGATGACGATGATGCTGATCATGGTGATGCGTATGCTTATGATGAGGTTGATTGTGATGGTGATGGTGATGGGGATGGTGAGGATGACGATGCTGACGATGATGACGACGACGATATGGATGCTGATGCGGATGGTGTTGATGCTGATGATGATGGTAATGACGGTGATGGCGATGTATTAGATGATGCTACAGGTCATGATGGTGCTGCTGATGCTGATGGTGGTGATGGTGGTGATGAGGATGATGATGACGACGACGGTATGGATGCTGATGAGGGTGGTATTCATGCTGATGGTGATGATGGTGGTGATAATGATGATGATGTTGATGACGATGTTGATTATGCTGATGATGATGCTGATGGTGATGATGATGGTGGTGGTAATGGTGAGGATCACGATAATGACTATGATGACGACGACGATATGGATGCTGATGAGGTTGGTGTTGATGCTGATGATAACGATAATAGTGGTGATGGAGATGATTTAGATGATGCTGCAGATGATGATGGTGCTGCTGCAGTTGATGATGATGATGGCGGTGATGATGGTGATGAGGATAATACTGACGACGATGACGACGACGATATGGATGCTGATGAGGATGGTATTGATGCTGATGGTGATGATGGTGGTGGCGATGATGCTGATGATGTTGATGATGCTGATGATGAAAAGTATGCTGACGGTTCTGATTACGATGCTGATGAGGCTGATGTTGATGACGATTGCGACGCTGTTGATGATGATTTTGGTTAAGAATGTGATGCTGCTGCTGGTGATGATGATGACGATGATGATGCTGCTGCTGATGATGATGATGATGGAGAAGGAGAGAGGAGGGAGGAGCCGGGAGGAAGGAGGCGGGATAATGTTGGGCGTGTCTCTCAAAACGAGGACCCAATACCACACAATAGTTGGGGAGAACACGTCGTGGGTGGCAGGATTTTCTAACTTTCACCCGTGCCCATGCTCATGCGAAGCATATGGCGCAACCTGTGGGGTGGTCGATTCCATATCGTGGGGGATGGACACCTGCGTCTCACAAGAGGCGGCCCCAACGAGCCCGCAACGCTTGGTTCTGTCAAGCGTTGGGGTTCTACGGTCATGCTTCTTTGCGAGAGCTATCAACATCGATTTTTGTTTAGACGGTCGAGCCACACAGACGAGAATACCTGAATCGTCTGGAGGTTGGCTTATGGTCAAAGCCATTCATGAGGTCAGGCCGAGCAGCGGTCTCGAGCTCGTTCTTCCTGCTCTGATGGGCCGCTGCGTGGGACAGCATGTTCCTATTTCGGATCTTCTCCGCCCCTCCCTTTTCTCCCTCCTCCTACGCTCCTCTCGCCCCTCCTCCCCCTATTTCGGATCTTCTCCGCCCCTCCCTTTTCTCCCTCTTCCTACGCTCCTCTCGCCCCTCCCCCCCCTCCGCCAGGGCCAGCCGCAGCAGCACTACCTGGCGGCGCCCGCCCTCTCGTGCCTGGCCGGACGAAGGGGGGAGGGACTGGAGGAAGGCTTCGGCACCGCCTCCGGGCATCAGGCGATCGCAAAAATGGACCAAGGGGGCGTGGATCAGCGTCGGGCCCCGTTTCCGTGGGGAATCGCGGATTTCCGCCGCCGAGCGGGGCGGCACTGGCCGCATTTTGGGGAGGGCACCTATCCCGATCCATGGATTTGGCGACCGCGCGCCAAGTCCATGCATCGCTAATCCATGCCTGCGCGCCTCCGATACCCTCTTGGATGCACGGCCACATCCGGCGCCAGGAGGCGCAAGCCTTTTTGTTTGATCTCTGTCTCCAAGCAAAAAAAACAAACAACTCCCGAAGTCCGCCTTTGGGAGGACATGCCCGACCTGAGCTTCACTGGCCCCCTCCCAGACCGGGCCTTCCCGGTGACGGCCCCTCCGCCCCGCTCCGAGGCACGGGCGGAGCGGGCGGAGGGGGCGCCGAGGGCGGGAGGGCCGTCCCCGGAAGGGGCTCGTCACGGAAACGGGTCGGCCGTGGCAGCTCCGCGGTCGAAGACCGGCGCTTGCCGGCATGGGCTGGTGCGCGAAGGCGGACAACAACGACGCCATGAGCATAAATGTTTGGCGCTCGGCGCGGAGTTCTCGGATCTGCGCTGGCCCCCCCCCCCCCCCCCGCGGCGCCTCCAGCACCGCCCCTGGCGCGCTCCTCGCGCCAGCTAATTAGGGGGGTCCAGCTTCAATCCCAGAAATCCGAGCGGAGCGCCAACAGCTTATGTTTACGGCATTCGCTCCTCTTCCAGAAAATTGGCGCAATTGGGTATCGCTTAGTACGGCTTGCCCGTTGACTCAGGCCGAATCCACGGTTTAATCCAGCCTAATCCAGATGATCAGTGGTTCCCACAAAGACCCCAGAAGTTGAGTCGTGCGGTTCGGCCTGCGCTCGATGAACCACCATACGCTTGGTATCCCCCCCCCTTTCGTCAGACCTGTTCGTCGTCTTCGTGCCGCGGGCACCGGCGTCTTCTCCCCTTGTCAGGCAGAGGGGCCCTTCGGGAGTCGATCGGGGTCGGGAGGTGAGAGGGAATCATGGGATTGAGAGGTTAAGTCGGTGATCTTTCACGACGGGGTCATTCACGACGTCGCAACTCGGGGGAAGAGGAGGAGTAGGACGGAGCAGGATGATGATGGAGAGTACTTGGAGGGGGTCGGCAGCATCCGAACGTGCGCTTGCGCCAAGAAGAGAGGAGCCTGGGAAGAAGGGGGGAAACAGGGGCATGGGGAGGACGGCGAGGTTGAGGAGGAGGAGGAGGAGGAGGAGGAGGAGGAAGAGTTAGGCCAGAAGCAGAGCGAAGAGGAGGTGGAGGACATCCCAGAGCCTCGCTGCCGGCCGGTGCTCTGCAGTCCTCTGGCCCGTGGCTCTGCCCCTCCGCCCTTTCGACGCCCCTGTGGCTCGCACAGGCCGCCGGCCACGAGGGGGCGCCGACGGCCTCCAACAACGGGGCCGGCGTCTGATCGCGTGCAGTTTTCGGTTTGGTAATCGGTGCTTTCATCGGTGCTGTCGTTGCCTCCTCTCCTTCATCGTTTTCTTCTCCCTCCCCCTCCAATCCCCCATCCCGCTATCACATTTTATCGTCTCCAATCGTATCGGGAGCTCCCGTGGCAGAAGAGCACCCAGAACGAGGTCCTCCGTGACAGAGGGGGGGCATCTGGGAACCCCTCTGTGACAGAGGGGGGGCATATTTGACCCCCTCTGTGACAGAGGGGGGGCCAAAAAACAAATGATCACTTTAATGCGGCTTCTGGATTAACGGCCCCGGGCCAGCGCATTGCTTACCAGCCCCGAGCGTATCCCTATCCCTAAGACTGACACGCCAAAAGGCGATGACGATCTCAGGGATGCGCCCTCAAAAAACAAGGGAACCCCTAAGATCGGCATCGTGATGGGGAGATGCCCAGCATAGGGATAGGGGTATGTTCCAGGCTGGTAAATTGCGCCCGAGTTCTCTGGGGTGACTCGGGCCCGGGGTAGCTCGGGCTCGGACTCCCGAGAAACGAGCCCGAGTCAGCCCTGACCCGAGTGACCCCTGATGATTCGGGGCCCTCCGCGCCCGAGTGTTCCGGGGTGCCTCGGGCCCGGGGTAGCTCGGGCTCGGATTCCCGAGAAACGAACCCGAGTTCGCCCTGACCCGAGTTATCATTGATGATTCCAACCAGATGTTCCAACCTACTTTAGCCTGGACCACCATACAGAATTTCGAGCACCAGGAAAGTACCGAAACTAGAGGATTTTGACGTGTCGCGCCCTGGGATCAAGCAGTGGCGAAGCGTCCTGGCTCGCCTATAGCCCTACCAAACAATGTTCTAAGAGCTTTTGGGGTTTCCACGAAATGTTCTTAGAACATTTCTGGCTGGGACTGTCCTGTTTTATCACATCGGGTTTATGTTATAGGAACATTGTTTTGTCCTTAGATCATGTTTGGGTTCTAAGAACATTTCGTGGTATGACTATCGGAATGCCGGGACGGTCGGTCTTTGCTCAATGGGAGGCGATACTCGTTCGACACCGTTTCGATATTTCTTTGGGTGCTCGAAATTATTTCTGGGGTGTGGTCCTTGAGTACGATGGGAGCAACATCATGCCAGACTCCGAAGAGGCAGAACAGCCGGCCGCCTCGACGTCAGGGTGCGACGCCTGGCTTCGGTATGCCGATTTTCTGGAGGCGCACACTCAGGGTGATGGACTGATATTCCACCACCGCTACCGTGGGTTGGAGAGGGAGGAGGACGAGGAGGAGGACGAGGAGGAGGTGGAGAAGGAGGAGGAGGAGGAGGAGGAAGAGGACGAAGATGAGGAGGCGGAGGAGGAGGTGGATGAGGAGGAGGAGTTGGCGTGGGGAGGGAAGGAGGAGGAGGAGGAGGAGGAGGAGGAGGAGGAGGAGGAGGAGGAGGAGGAGGAGAACCTCTCCTTCTTCCCTAAGGTGGTGGTGGTGGGAAATTTGCCCATGGGTGGAGCGAGGGGAGGGGGGGGGGCGTCCTGGGAGGCCAGGGGCCTTCTGAGAGGGCAGGGGTCGCCTTCCTTAGAGGGCTCAGTGGCGCTCCAGCGGGGGGAAGCGAGAAGGGGCCCCCGAGCGCGGGCTTCGCCTGGAGCCCAGCGCCTCGCGTTCGCTCCTACGCTCCCGGGGGGGACAGGGGAACGAACAACGACATAAACATAACTACTCGGAGGTCCGCGCGGGTTTCTCGGATTCGCGCTGGGCCCCCCTGGCGGCGCCCTCCGGCGCCGCCCCTGGCGCGCTCCTCGCGCCAGGGAGGGGGGTCCAGCGCGGATCCAAGAAATCCGCGCGGACCTCCGAGTTTTTATGTTTATGCCATGATTCGTTCCCCTACTATGGCTCGGGCAACCACTGCTGCATGCGACAAACTCTGCACAACCGCGTCCATGCGCAGCCACTGCTGCCCCCAGCGCGCAGACCACCGCATCCACCATGCGCCAACTGCTGCAAGTGCTGCTGCGCCTGTCCCAGCGGGGACCCATCTTCTGAGCATCCCAGATGGGGGGCCCGAGCAGATGGGGTCAGAGCATCGCGGCGCGGCATCGCCGATGCATCGCCGATGGGCCTCGATGTGAATCCCGAAGTTCTCTACGCCGACGTCGCCGATGTATCGCCGTTGTATCGCCGCTGCATCGCTGATGTATCGCCGATGCATCGGCGAAGTGGCGCGATCCTCAGACACCATCTGCTCGGGCCCCACAGGGGAGGCCCAGATCGCCTCCTCCCCCTCCCGTGGTGCCCCGGCCCCTCCTCGATGGCGGCCTTCTTCTTGGCGTGGGGTCCTCTACTCGGGCCCCATCTGGGAGGCCTCTGCATCTTCGCCAGACTCACTACTCTGGCACGTGCTCCTGCCCCCCCTTCCTCACCGAGCGCGCTCCACTAGTTACTCGTAAAGTGTCTGCTCGCAAACCTCTGAACAAAACACATGTTCGCTTCGTTGTAAGGGATCGTAAATCCTCTGCGGCGAATCCAGGCCATCGAAGAAGAACTAACGCTATAAACATAAACTTTTGGCGATCCGCGCGAATGTCTTGAATCCGCCCTGGGCCCCCCCGCGGCGTCTCCAGCGCCGCCCCTGGCGCGCTCCGCGCGCCCGGGAGGGAGTTCAGCGCAGACCCAAGGAATCCGCGCGGAGCGCCAAAAGTGTATGTTTATGTCTTTATTTCCTCTAATCAGGGCCATCTGCGAGTACAGTGGAGACCCATGCCAAGAAAAGCCCTGCTTGCCTCCAGGGTGCCCTGGGTTTTCTGGGTTTGGTTCGTTTTGCCATGGAGAGCGCGACGTGGTCACACCAACAATCAGTTGACGCCCTGGGGTCTCAGGGTTGGGTTTCTTGTGGATGGTTTCTTGTGGTCGGGCCCCGCACGGGCGAGTGGAGGCTGGGGTGCCAGGTGCCGAACGGGAGGAGGAGGAGGAGGAGGAGGAGGAGGAGGAGGA